TATATATGTTTATATATATATATATATATATATATATATATATAAGTTCCATTTTTAGTTCAAACTGCAGTGCCTGGATTTCCAGCTGTCCTTCAGTACAATTTAACATAGCCCTTTATCAGCCAGCTCTCTGAGCTGGCTAGAAAGCTGAAAATGTTCTTGCAGGCTTTTAGACCTGGTGAGTTCAAAGCCAGAGTCACTGCAACGTCTCAGTTCCTGCAGTACCTTTTCCTTCTGATCAAAAGGAACCAAGTAAACTCACAACTCTTAAAAGAACTATCAAATAATGGGGGGAGGGAAGTAAAAATAAATGGACCCGTAATGCCTTCTGAACAGTGCCAGGGACTCCATTTTAGATAGTGGCACTCCCAAGTGTGAAAACGAGGGCTGATCCTGTTTTGAATCCAACTACTATAAAATATTCTAAAGCTCCATTACCTTAATTATATAAAGGTACAAATATACTGCAAACACCGTACATATACACATTGATTTTTAGCTTTGTCCCCTTGTTGATAACATGGAAGAAGAAGACATGATGGCTAAATCTGGACTGTAGCTGTCAGTCATCTCCTTCATCTGTGCTTTAAGCAACAAAACATGGAAATGTTTTTTGAAGCAGCCCTGTAAAACACAGCAGGTCTGGCTAACATTGGCTTACAGTTCCCTGAGCTGTGCTAGTGACTTTTATCAGGGTGCTGGGATGGCCAAGATCTGAAGACTCACTTCTCCCCCACTGCATGCTATCTGCAGCCCAGAGTTTGAAAGCAGCTTTCCTGCATGGAAATTTTGGGGTTTTTTTGGTTTGGGTTTTTTTGGTTGTTTGTTTCTTTTTGTTGTTTTGTTGTTGTTGTTGCTTTGTTTTGTTTTTGGTTTTGGTGGTTTTTTTTTCTTTGTTTTGTTTTTTTTTGGGGGGGGGGGAAATGGGGTGAGTTTGTTTTGGGGGGTTTGGGTTTTTTTTTTTTTTTTTTTTTTTTCCCCAAAAGGTTTCTGCAGAAACTGCTAGCTTTTAAGTGCTTAGGAAACAGGATGCAGGAACTGAGCAGTCCAGTGGCAGCAAAACAAAGACGACTATGCTAAAGTCTTTGAGAGAATAGTCTCAGGAGATGAAATCTTTGAAGGTCTCCCTGCTTCCTATTAATTCTTTTTCCAGAAATCCTGTAAGGAAAATTAAAATGAGACAAAAAGAAAGAAAAGTGATACAATCTTAGAAGACGAGACATGGACTTAGTTGTTTCTGTCACTGCACCTCACCTCCAGGAACAGCAGCTTATATGTGTGCTGAGTTAGCAGGCCAGACTTCCATGGACTTGGTAATAATATACAGTGCTTTTATAGTGCTTTACATGTTCAGAACATTTTACAAATACCAGGCCAGATTAATCCAGGCTTTAAATCTGCATAAACCTTGGCATAGAGCTCTGGTGCCCATGAGATTATTAAATCTGACATGAAACCAAATTGTGATGATCAAAAAAAGAAGACTCAAAAAAGGCAGAGCCAGGAAGAAGAGTTTGCTATTTCTTTGAAGAGACAGAAGAAATCTTGGAAGAAGCAAAGAAACGGTTGGTTAATTGCATAACAGATGTCTGCATTTTTAGGGCTGATGTTGGGAAACTCTGGCTATAAGTTTCCATTCATTTCATCTCCTCTGGAGAACAAAGAGACATGCAGATTTTTAAGGTAAAAAAAAGTAACTCAGACTGACAGGAAGAACTCATTTTGGTTTATGCATTTATATTTTTATTATCCTGAGGAGACAGCAGTGAGGATACTTGGTTGCAAGTAAACAATGGTATAAATTATATGATCTTGACAAGCAGCAGTAAACCCAACTCACTTATTCCTCGATTATTATGCTCCATGTTTCTCTGACTGGTCCACATAGCAGCTGTAAGAGGCTTGATTTGTGCTGCATTAGGATATATTTTAAATGTATTTAAAATTATGATTTGTCCTGCTGTGCAGTAGCTTAATGATAACTGACTTAATTCGCAATATAAATCTCCTGTATAGGAAAGGAATTCATTTCCCTTTGGGAAGGCAAAACACCCTGAAACAGCCTTTGTTTGCTGCTGCTACCCCAAAGCTCTTCAATACTCACGAGGCAGTGCATGAAGACAGCGCGAGGGAGACACTTCATCTAATCTCAGCATGTTTTCCCTATTGCTGCCACACTGTAGCATGCCACTGATGCTCACAACAAAGAGGGTAAGGGAGCAGTAAACACAACAAACAGAAACAAGTGGAATGCCGAGACAAAGAACAATTACATAGGCAATTGCAGTCAGAGGAAGCACACGGAAGAGCTGGGCAGATTATTTGCATGTCAGTCCAGAGTTTCAGTCTTTCCATCGGGTGTATTGATAGCTACTACTTTGCATCTGCTTCACAATGTCACTATGTGGCTCCACAAACCTTCTCTCTGCAATTACATTTGAAGCAAATTAGGTCAGTTTATTAGCTATGGAAAGGTCTCTAAATTATAAATAATGTGCTTAAGACATCATCTTTATTGCCATATTTGACAATTGATTCACCACAGCATAAAAGACTGGCTGAGGCAGGACAGGCTCCAGAGGTGCCCTTAACTTCCTAATTGAGCTACACTGTTGCTCTTTCCTCACACCCAAATGGGATTTATTCACTGAATGCTGTATCCTGTATGTACATACTCACCACAGGTTGCCTTTCTGTTTTAGTAAAGTTGATAATTTCACAGGAGCACTTATAGCCAAAGACACCTAAAAATCTCAGCCTAAACTGAAGTTTTCAGACATACACACTTCCAGCCCTTCCTGCCATGTTGTATAGTACAGCTTAGCTGCACTCTATAGTAAGTTTTCAGCTACAGTCTGGGGGCCATGAGGTGTTAGAAAACAAATCTCTACAAAATGTGTGACTTGGTTAATGCATTAGCCATGGTTACAAGAGTTAGTGTCTCCTTGTACAGTTGCATTTAAAAATCTGACTTTGACGATTTTTATTTCATTTTCTTTGTAACAAATACCAGACTTCAACTGCTGTCTTTCCTAGTCATGTGGGTATAAAAGTTTTCTTCCTTTTTTTTTCCCTGCCATTGAAGGATTGCCTGCCTGTTGCAGCTGACCCTCAAAGCATATGCACTGGTCACACAGTTGCCATGATTTCAGGTTGCCACTGATGCCCTTTGTCTCAGTACTTTGCAAGCTGCAGGGACAAGCCATAGAGCTGGACTTTCACCAGCCTGACTACCACCTTTGGTACAGGCAGAGCAATTAACAGGCATGCACAGAGCTAAGTATGTTCAGTTCCCTTGCTAGTTCAGACCAGCACCAGGCAGCAGTTTCTCTTCTAATTTTCTCAGCAGGTTCAATGCATTTTCAGGCCCTATAGATCTCTTCCATGAAGGAGCAGCACCAGTGATCAAATTACTGCCTTAAAGAAACATCTATTTAAATGAAAAGACTTTCAAAAGAAAGTTTTACAACAATGAAATAAATCATATGCTAGTCTGATTTTCATCAAGATCTCTAGGTCTAGGAAGAGATCTAATTCTCAGCCTTCTTCAGCATGTCACCCTGTTGTCAGCCTGTCCCTCCCTGCAACTTCTGGCGACAATCTTCTTTAATCCTGAGAAACCAACTGGAGTTTGCTTTATCTCCAAGCCCTTGCTCTGGCAAGAAGATCTGTATCATTTTGGATCCATGAGTCACATCCCTCAAAGCTATTTGTTTATTCCTCTCACTGTCTTCCTCAAGGATGACTGAGGCCTGTATCACAAAGAATTGCGTGGCTTCCTCACTTCTTATCAGAAGGAGCAAATGTTAGAACAATGTGCACATAGATGGAGTTCTGACAACGCACTTATATATTGCTTCACCTGCAACCTCCAGGTCATTTACAGCAGTCATGCAATTAGTTCTGCTCAGTACTGTTACAGCAGTGCACTGCACTGCTTGGAGTATCACACTCCAACTCTGTTACAAAGCAATACACTGAATTAGGTCCTCCTCTCTTACTCTGGAGTAAGAGAAAACTTACCCCTCTGCCTATTTTGACTTTGAACTGAGTGCATACATTTCACCCTTCTTTTTACCATTTTTTAAAATTACTATTTTAGGAATTTGTATGTAGTTCAGAGCTAATTTTAGCTTGATCAGAAAGTGCTCTGGGTTTGCTTGCATAAAAGGTGTGGTAGAAATGTACTACATTGCAACCTTTTCCAAATCAAATTCAACATAGTTGAAAACTAGCTATGGCAATAAAAAACACTACAGGGACAAAGCTGGCACAGAGTCTATGCTGACAGAAAATGCTTAAATAATTGTGATCTCTGTATTTTCACAGGTTAAGACAAGGGACTTCAAGAGCAATTTAAATCTGGGGCTTTGAGATATGAGCTGATCACATGCGGAAATTGGAAAGGGATTTATAAACAGTGGATAACTGAGCTGTAGCCATACAGAAAAGCACTGGTGAATCTAGGCTGTGTAATGCTCAGTAGTTGTAGGCAGAAGGATATCTTTGCTTCCCTTTTTCTCCCTGCCCTGTTGGTAATGATGCAAGGCATGAAACCAGGACATCTTGCTAACTGAATCAATATTCAGAACCACCAAGAAAAATCTTATTTTTCCATAGAACGAGGAAGCAGTGGCACTCTAAGGTCAGAGTTAGGCAGCCAGGTATACCTGGATAATTGCAAGCACTGCAGTTCCTACATGCAGTCTTCACAAACATACATTGATTCACCACAGAATGCTTCCAAAAGAAAAGGAATTCTTCAGATTTCTTAACATTTTCCCATGAGAATAGGTTTCTTTTTTCAATCCATTATGCCACTGTTACAGCCTTATTTTTATTTTCAAGAATTTTCATTGAATCACAGAATTTCTTTCTGACACAGCTCACCTTTTAGAGATATTTTCCAATTGATCTAATCTGTCCATTCTACCTAAGAACATCTTTGCCTGTTCTTTTTTTTTTTTTTAAACAAAACAGAGCAACAAAAAAACCCAACCAAGGACGTAAGGATGCATGTAAAATGTAACATCATTAACAATTCTTTAATATATACAAGTAAATCTGGCAACTTTAAATCATGTTACCTCTTTGAAACACACCACAGACTGTCTTTTCTACTTTCTACTTAGTGAATCTTCATAGGGTTTTTAATACTCTTCCTACTTTTGCCATGATCAAAGGAATTGCTCTCCGTTTGCTTGTTCCTCTGATAAGTGATAAAAGATGTCAGTGAGACTAATGAGAACTGCCTCTAGCTTCCTTCATAAAGCCCTGTAGAAAAGAAATCACAATGCATCGTCAAACCCGCTAGTCTTTTAGGAAATAAAGTGTGGAAAAATACTAGGCACAAAGACAACAGGGGGATAGGAGTGGGGGAAGAGGAGGGGAAAAAAGCTTTTACAAAAGAAACAAAAGAGGGTATTGATGAGTAAACAGAAATATTAGTCCCCTCAATAATCTGAAATGGGGTAAATCCTGAAACAACTGCATATGCAAATGTGGAGATCATTTCTTTGTGCAATAATATTTGCTTTCACACACGTACACATTGTACATGCTGAAAAGATAACAGAGCTTCCCCCTACCCCATAATACAGCAGTTAAAAATCAGAATCCAAATCCAAGTTAGGCCTTTACCCCTCAGTGCTCAGTGACGGTTTACATTACTTTTTTCAGGATCTGACAGAGTAAAACTCTTCAAAGTGAATTTTGCCCTCTAGTGCAAAGGCCTTCATTCCAGTGAGGACTGAAAGCAGTTAGCACATCTTCAGGCCCTAAAACAGTGGATGTGTTTCCATTCACTCACACTGGAAACAACTGGAATAATATCCATGGACAAAATGAAGTATGTGTGCATTGAGACCAGTCCCAAACGAGTGGCAAGATTTTAATTTGTGCTGTGAAGAGCTGCTCTGCCTTCTGAGCAAATTGCTCCTCCAATTCCTGTTTCTAATTTGATTCTGCAGATTTGGGGAACAATATCTCATCTGCAGGGGCTGCTTGTATTTCTCTAACCCAGATAGGCATCTTGCTAAGGTAGGACAGGCAGTCACAGTTTTCTGAATTAAACAGAAAACAAAGATGCATGCAAAAATCAGGCTCATTTCTTACATACTATCCTCCTAACAACAGCTCACACACACCTATCAACAACATCTCCTTCATGGCAGATGCCTAGAAAATGTGCTCTTGTTTTTCAAGACTGACAGGGACATGACTGGACGTGGTAGCACTGTGATTTTTGCTGTGAAAAACCTGTGCTATCACATGTGCTTATGGATTGCGTATTAAACCCTGTTGAGCTAGACCTCTGGGCTTCTTAGCAAGTTGTATGAATGTTTAGAACAGAACAGCCTGATAAAGAATCATGACCTTCCAAACAGAAAACTTGCTGATTTATTTTACTTATTTTTAACAAGATTTTTTTTTGTCTTGTTTTGCATTGGTACTTCTCAGTTGTTTTCCTAAAGAGAGACTGATTATTTTGGGCTGGTAACTTTCAGAACATGTTGATTTACTACTAAACATAACTATTATGTCTACATACATAGTTTTCTAATCATACACATTTATTAAGCATATTATAGAAGATAATACTTTACAAAAATGTAGATTAAAATCAGTATACATAAATACAAGTTAATGTAAGTGTCCTCAAGAGGAAAATTGTAAAGTTAAAAAAATATATTTTGCTTTTCAGACAAATTATTTTAATCAACAAAGGAAGGTTTATTAAAGTGATTTGCAATGGCTGTTTCTGACTATTATATAACTCAAGATTTTAAAATGATTAGGTCTCATCTTACACTTCATTTTTAACCGTAGGTAGTAGAAGAAAATAGGCATCCTGCTTTTTCAGACTCAGTGCTGAGTGCCAGCAAAACGGTTATATTTAATTCCAAAGGGGAAAAAAATAAATTGCTATCTTTCTAGGAAAATAACTGAAGACTACACAGTAAAAATAAATATCTCAATTTTCTCTCTGTTGACTTTAGTCACCTGATGAAGTAATTGGAACCTAGAAACAACTATTTTCTTTTCACTGCTAATGAGTAGTGACTCAGTGTCCTGATGCGAGCACCTTGCCAGCAACACGTTTTGGGATTTTTTTCCTTAAGCCTTGAATGATTTAATACATCAGAATAAATTGGACTAACTATAGGCCTAAAACTTAATTTTAAACAGTCGTACTCAGTAAAGGTTTTATTAAATTAAAATTCCAATTTATTTTTTTAAGTCATTGCTTTTTATCCATCCTGCTGTTCCTCTTCATTAAGGGAAGAATGAATCTGATGCCTCAACTCTGATCTTTCTCCTGAGGTGCGGTTTTCCCTTTATACTAATATTAAATATGAAAGGTCTATGGAACCTTAAATAAGAAAAATAAATGGACTTCTAGGCTGGGTAGGGGAGAGATTAAGCCAGGGAAGTAGCCTAGGGGAGAGTGCAGCTACATAAAAAGATAGAACCCCTGTGGCATCTTCTTTGGTCATTAGTTTCACTGGGCTGAACCACCAATAAATGCCACCCCTGAATTGGGTTTGACATCCAAGGTCACAATCACACACACTCTTAGGGCTCTGTTCTTCTTCTAAAACAGTACTATTTGTAATAACCAAAGTACAGTTACACAACACCAACCACCAAAACTCAGCAGAAGTTGCTTTTGATTCTGCCTGGGTTACCGTTAACTTGTAAGAGTCAACATGTGCACCAGTTTGCATAGGAACTCAGTTTCCTTCATGATCATATTCACTGAAAGAATCATTGATTGGGGAAGATAAGCAGCTCTGCACTCATCATTTAAAGCTCACAAATGCTGCCCTTGCAACTTTCCCTTGTAGAGCACACTTGCAGAGAAACAGTGATTCTTGTATTCAAAGCAACAGATCTTTTATGGTTTTTTTGTTTGGTTTTTTCTTCACTGTCCTTAGGGTCTGCAGGGCTGTTTCCCTCATATATTCTCACTTTTCTCTGGCTGCAATTGCTACTGTCAGTAACTTTTCCCTCTTCTTAACTATGTTATCCCAGAGGCGCTAACTCCAAGGGCTTGGCCTTGCCTTAGAGCCTTAGAGCCCACTAGCATTGAATCCATTGGACACAGGGGAAGCTTCTTGCAGAAGCCACCTATATAGTCCCCATGCTACCTCACCCTTGCCACACAAACCCAATGTCATTGTGCAAGCAGAGACCAAGAGAGTAGTCTCCTGTCTACCTTGACTATCCGTCTTCCATGGCAAAAGAAGAGCATATGGAAAACTGCAAAAAAAAAAAAATAGAGGAAAGAACAGATAAAAAAAAAGGGGATAAAGAAAGAAAAAAAAAAGAAGAAAAGTAGTCAAACAAATGTAGAGAGTTTTAAAATTATGAGTGAAGAAGGGAAAGATTTAAAAGAATAATGAAATGCCAACATAAAATTAAAATTTAACAAATAAAATGCACAAGGGAAAAAAAGAAAAATAAGAGGGTAGTTATAGAAGTAAAAAAGTAGAAAAAAAAGAAAAGAAAGACAGCTAACATAAGATGCAGATTTCGGTTACTGTGGTATGCTAGACAGAAATCCAGACTGGCTTTCTCAAAGCTGCACTTTAATGTCAGTCTTTACTTATTTTCAGCAAGAAAATCATTGCTCTTTTCATGTTGCTTTTCTTCAGAAAAAAAAAAAAAAGAAAAAAGAAAAAATCTGACTGGAAACTTTCCAATCCCCCACAAACTGTGAGGATTTTCTACTTGAAAATGAAATTTTTCAAAGGAAAATTGTATTGCAGCTCCATGTCAAAAAATTTTAGACAGCTCTAAGAACACTATGGACTTTTCTTTGTCAAAAGAAAACCAAAACATCTCCAAGATTTGCTTAGAAATTGCTTAAAGATTATAGGGAGAACTGGGAGTTTTTCCAAAGCTGGTTTTGTTATCCTCGCATAGAAAATTCAAAGGCAGATGAATGGCCACAGTTGAAGTCTGGCAGAAATTAGATCCTAGATCTCTGTACCATCTGCCTCACACATTTTTTTTTATTATTCATTCAGGTAACGTCTCCTTCCTTCAGCAATTTCTGTGAAAACCATTCTAAAAAGCTATTCCAGAAATTGTGTTAGAGAAACATCTTGCAGAACCGCTGCAGTGATACATGTATTAGTGTTTTTCCAGGGGAATCAGTTGATTTTAATTTTGTTGTATCCTCTCGGAAACATCTCAGCCAAAGCAACTTTTTATACTTGATCACTTATTGCAGTATTTCTTCCACTTAGCAGGCTTTTCAATATGTATGAAAGACTAGGGATTTACCTGTGTAATTTTAGCATATAGAGGTGGTGTGTTCAAAGAAAAATGTTTGTGGCGAGGGCTTGTAACAGGAATGTCATTGAAACGCTCATACTTGTGATAAATTCCATTTCAGGGCTGTTAGCCAGACCTCTTGTAATAAATTTAGGCTTTCCTAAACAGGAAGCCTCAGTAAAATTAATTTGAATGAATTGTAGCTGTGAATTAACATTCCCAAGTGCCCTTACGGAGACACTCACTTAAGGGTTTTAGCAGGCCACAGTGCAGTAGAGTCCAGGGATGTTTGGGATATACCTGTGATAGCACAACTTCTGCAGTATTTTTTTAACATAGTTCAGATTAGAAGACTCATACTGCATTGTCTTCAACACTTCAGTACCACTTAGGTTGTGCTTGTTTTTATCCTTGAGAGATCCAAGATAATGAAGTGGAGCAATAGTTTGGCTTAATGCTGCATGGAAATGAGGAGTAAGACTGAATTGCTGTAAAAATCATCAATACTCTCCACAAGTGCAAAACCTGGGAGATAGGATCCTTCTCTCTTAAGGCTCCCCCCAAAATGAAGACCAAAAACTCATCTGGTTTACAGCTGTCTGGACAGGCACAGGGACACATAACTACCATGGACACAGGATCTGTAAGGAGTCAGTTACAGATCCTGTAGCTGTAGATCCGCTGAATCTATGTATCATCTCCCTTGCTGGGCAGCCCCTACATCTTGCCAATTTTTAGTAGAATTTTAGAAGTGTAATGTTAGAGCTGCATGATACAGTCCTGCATCAAGTCAGAAGTGCCATGCAGAGGTGAACAACCTCTCAAATTCCATTTTCTGCTGCACTACTTATGTCATGTGTTCAATTGCTTCTCCACAATGATACCCAAACACGTTTCACAGTGTCTGCTTTCACAATACGTCTCTTAATCACCAGGCACAGTTAATAGTCCCTGTTACCTGGTTTATTACTTTGCTTTTGGGTACATAAAGAAAGATTTTATTTTTTCAGCTCCAATCCTACTTTGTAATCCAACTCACCCAGAAGAACAGGTTTGCCCTTGGTTGGCATTCTGCCATCAACAGTGTGATAACAGTGATGATACAGTGAATAATACCAATTAATGCCAAGCTTCATATTGATATATAACAATCCTGGAAATATTGCTATTTGATTAAAATTTCTTTTGACAGCTATTTGTAAGACAAGTCTATCACCTAGCTCCTAATTAATGTTTTCCATATAGATGAACTATAATTTTCTTTATGTAATAGCCGTAAGATTTACAGAAACCTAAATATCTTCCTTATCTGGTTACTTTCCTTAACCAAACTTGTAATTTCCTCATAAAATGAAGTTTGGCTGGTGTGAAGATATCTATTTTTCTTATGGCTTGTGATTGATTTTATTCTCACCATTACAATTATGTTTTTAAAGATATACTACTACATCCATTTTAGCAGCTTACTTAAACACCAAGAACATTAGAATTATTAATTTTCAGCTTAGGTAGGAACCCGATCACTTTTTAGAAGAGTTAAGAATCTTGGTAAGAGTAAAAGTGAGATTAATTTGTAGCCACCAGAGATTTTCACTGATTTATAAACAAGATTGTCTTGACAGAGTGCAAATGCATCCGAAACAAAACCCAGAAAAGGTTCTTTCACTGTGAAAGAATTATTCTCACCCATCTAACCAGCTCCCCCTTTTATCTTCACTGTGCTGGGAAACAAAAGTATACTGAATCAATCCATACATTATAACAAAGAAGCTGCACAAAGTATTATTAAATTGAAAACCCTCTGCCTTATCTTTGAAAAGCAACCCCTTTTGAAACAGGTTGAATCTTTACATAAATTGACGTATTTTCATTCACTTCACTGGATTGCTACACAAATATAAGCAGGTGCAGGTGGCAGCCCATGGTATATTTTTATTTCAGATGTTTAAATTTTAGTTTGAAACATCCTCAAAATTATTAACACTACAGAATGAAAAGATTTGATACTGTGCTGTAGAAAGCAAAGTCACAAAGCACAGAAGCCAGAGGGGTATTTATGTCAGCATTTCTTCTCAGTGTAGCATTCTGGGGTGTGCAGAACAACCACCCCCCACCCACAGAATGAGTGTGGACACAGCATTAGCTAAGGTGGGGTACTACCAGCATAAATCTGGAGATTTTAATCTGCCAGTTTGGGGGGTACAGTGACATTTAGAGCCAGTATGTTTTTCTTATCAACAGCACTTGTAACCTCATATATGAGAACAAACCTTCCCTAAAATGTTTTAAAAGTAGTTCTTAACCATTTAGTTGTGTTTAGTACTGGTCAGCTCAACAGCAAGTCTTATTGATTCCAACGTGTTGAGGACGACTCTTAGAAAGCTTTTTAAAGGGAAGGGGGTTTTCCAGTTATTAAAGCACTAGTCTCAGCTGTGAGAACTAGATTTTACTTCTCACTCTCCATCATCTTTAAAGCAAGGTAAAAGAGAATTCAGGCATTTCAAAACAGTCACTTACTGCACAGCAGCTCTAGAGAATAGAAACACATGCAGAACAGCAAGGCAAAATCCTGGTGTGCCATCTGTACCTTATACACAAATTCCTGCAGAAAAATTAATACCCTACATCTGCTAAAGAAGGGTGCTTTGAGCAATTTGGAGCAAAAAGGCCATTATAGCTTTAAGCTCACTATATAAAATAAAACATATTTTTCAAATTTATAAATAAACTTAATATGCTCAGAGAAGAGAGCAAATTATTAAATATTGGGAACAGATGGGGAAATGTCAGACCATGGCTACTTGTATTTCCTGCATTTTACAGCTGGTTTGTAAGTACAAAGCATGCAAAGCCTTAAGCCACTCAGATCAAATGATCACATTGGACCAAATGCAGTGCCCTTATTCAGGCTATTTATTCTGCATTTGATTCAAGTGTTATTTTGCCTGAAAGCTACATCTTCTTGTGCAAAGTGCTTTTACTTAAGTCACATTTTAACCGTCTCTAAGATGGCTGGGAAACTAAATCAAGTTCCCAAATTCCTTCAGACCCTTTGCCTTCTCCTGTATGTCCAGGAGAGAGGACTGTTCAAGGCCCTCCTATTCTCATCCCACATCTTTCCCTAAAGAAACTGGTAGTTTCAGCATGTCCCTTCCTCTTTTCCTTCAGTCTTTGATGTATCATAGCCTCTTCAATGTTGTCAGCCTTGGAAAATATGAAAGGCATCTTTATTTCTTTGGAGAAGAAATACAGGAGCTGTTTAGTACTAAGAACATTTTCACCTAGTTTAGGTTGTTGTAAACACAGTCCCTATAAAACAAAACAACAATAAAAAAGCCAAACAAAAACCAACAACAAAACAGAAACTAAAAACTTCCCCAAGAACAAACCACTGGTGTCATTATATTTAAAACACAAAAAGAAAAAAAATCAAAATGAGAGTTGCAGCCAAACACTATGAGTGTGTTACCTTTAACCTGAAACTCTGCCTGTGGGCCATATCATCCTAAAAACTCTTTGATACAAGATAGAAACTAATGCTAGGGGCGTATCCAGAACTGCACACAGGTACCTGCTGATTTGCCGACTCACGGGTTTTAAAAGTCTCCTAGCCTGCTCCTGGCACTTCTTGTCAGTCACTGACAGGAAGATATTCCTCTGTGAAAGGCGATTTGCACAGCAGGAGACCTGCAAAGCAGCTGCCGCAGGTACTGCAAAGAAAATATAAAAAGCAAATGATATAAAAATGAAATGAAAAAGAAGGATCGGGAGAGGGAGGGGAGGAATTCACTCTCATGAAAAATGGGGCATAGAGCAAAGAGGGCGGAAGAGAAGG